ATGCTTTGGGTCACTGTTCTTTGATCCAGCTTCGTTGCCAGAAAGCTGGTGTGGATGTTACTGATAATGAGGTGCCAGTAAAATTGCACCCTACCATTGATGCTAAGCTGATTAGGGGACAGTTGAAGATTGGAGGAGAATGACCTACAGGGTTTAAGCCAGGCAGGAAACCCATGACTGAGGCAGAATTTGAGTTTGAACGGAAGATACAAATCGGGGAGCAATGGATGGTCAACGCTGAAGTTCGTTTGGGATTTTTACGCCGCCGTCTCAAGTTCATGTAGACGAGCCAGAGTTCATATCAGACCCAGATGATGAAGATATTGACCGATATTTGTGAAGCCCGGGGCTTAGAGGCAGCTGCGTACCAGCCTACTGTTTACCCTCATTCTGAGGAGGAGGATGAATTTGAAGCCGCTGCCAAAGCATATTTCGATGAGCGTGCTGATAGATATGAGGCTTCCATGGATGCTATGGGTGCAGGTACTTCGGCTACTGCTTCTCAGCCTACTGAGGGAGAGACTGCTGATGCTCCCACTGCTGCCCCGACTGCTGATGATGCCACTACTGCTGCTGATATTTCTGCCATGGATGAGGACAGGGTTGTTGATGCTGAGTACAACGCATTACCTGCTGCTGATCCAGGATCAGATCTTCTCTTCACTGATGAGGAGGATTCAGAGTCTCACACAGACTCCTGATATTTTTACATTTTCTGTTTATATAGTTTTATTTTGGTTTACTTTGGCTACATTTGATATTGGTTTTATTTTGTACATTGGTTAAGTACATTGAGATTCACTGTTTTGATTGATACACATTTCAATAGTACTGATGCTATTGAATGATATATGAATGTGTTTCAGTGATCCACTGCTGTTTTAGATTTAAATTAGTTGCTAGGGATATCAACGTTTAAATCTGGGAATTGGGGTGTGATTGAATGGCATGCGAACTTCATGGAGATGTCACAGAAGTGGATGAGCCAAAACAGGGAAACATCTCAATCTCTTTTCTTTAAGTTTTCTGTGTGATAAGTTTTCTGTGTGAATAAATTTTTAGTGTAGTTTAGATTTTAGTTTTTGAACCAGAATTTGGATTTCAGTTTTTTTTTATATGAAATTCCATGAGGGTTTGACTAATCAGAATTTTAGATGATTGATCAAATTAAGGATACAATCTTATGCCTTGCATGTTGAGAAATGAAATGATTGCATGACTCATTCAATGTGTAAGACTAAAGAGATTAGTTTTGATGCATAGAGATGAAGTCAAGCATGCACTCTGAACTGTGAGGAAATTGAGCCTATACAGAAAATTTTTGTTCAGAGAGCACTTCACTGTATGAGTAACTCTAGAACTTGCCTTTTTTCTTGCTTGAAATGGTTAATTATGTGTAGGGTAGAGGCATTTTCTTCTTGAACCAGAGAGTCAAATGGCCAACCCTTAAGTTCCCATTGCATGAAACACTTGAGCCTAACCTGTTGTTTATAAAACCACCACATTTATTCTAATCCTTCAAATTAAAAGTTTCAGATAAGTGATAAGGGATGGAGTGTTCTGTGGGGAGGAAAGTGTTTTTGCAATAAGTGAATGTACAAGGTGTTGGAAACATAAGAAAGAAAGAAGGGAAAGAAAGAAAAGGGTATGAAACACAAAGTGTTTGGAAGAGACAAATGGAAGTATTAAAGACACAAAGTGTCTGAAGGAAAAAGAAAAAAGAATTTGTTAAAGACACAAAGTGTCAGGAAGGAAAGGAGGAAGAAAGGTTCAAAGAAAAGAGCAAGGAATGAAAAGGAAGAAAGTTGGGGGAATTATGAAGAAATTGATAAATATTGTGATTTCCCTCTTATCTGAATCTGATTCATTTGATCTGAACTTCTCCTTTGACAGAAATCCATGCCTCTAGTCAAGCCACATACCAAGCCTCATTGCCAATCATACCAAGACCTTGTTGATCTGCCTTATAGATCATTGTTACTATGAATAGTGAGAAGATGGACAAGCTTATAGCAGTTTGAGTGTAGTGAAGAATGAGTGATAAGTGCATCCTTAAACACTAGTGTGCAAGAGAGTTAAATTCTCACAACTTTTGAGAAGTTCCTAGTGAGGGGGTGTTTTTGTTTGAAAAGTCTTTGTATATCATCTTTACTGATCTGTTGAAAAGCCACATATGATGTTGGGCGAGTCATAAAAAATAAGAGATTGCATGGTTGTAAGTTGTATCAATGTGATCTGTTGTTAATTAAAGTCCGTCCTCATGAGTTTCATTTGTAAAGAATCTTGAATCTTTCTCTATTGTAATATCATTACTGAGGACAGCAATGTCCAAATCTGGGAATTGTGATAAACCCCTAGTTCATCAGGTTTTTCAGCATGAATTAGTATCAATTTGCGTGATTAATTGGATGAAAAAGAGGTTAATGTCCTGGAATTCCCTCAAGTACAAGTTTTGAAAGCTTTATTGAAAAATTACACTGTCTTGTAGGGAAATGAAGCTTAAGGAGCAGCAGAAAGAAAGAAGAAGATTTTGGAGAAAGGGAGAATGCCTAAGTCTTGAGCGCTAAAACATCCACACAGAACGTTTTAGCGCGCTGCTGCAAACGAAGGACAAAAGTTGCTGGTGCTGAGCGCTAAAACGTCCACACAGAACGTTTTAGCGCGCTGCTGCAATCTGAGGACAAAAGTTGCTGGTCTTGGGCGCTAAAACTTCCTGATCAAACGTTTTAGCGCCCTGCTGTTGGAAAAAGACTCTGGTCTCGAACGCTAAAACGTCCAAACCAAGTGTTTTAGCGTTGGAGTCAGTTGGAAGCAGTTGAGCATTCACCAGACATGGACGCTAAAACGTTCAACAATTCACGTTTTAGCGCCCAAGTTAGTTAAAGCAGTTGGGCATCCGTCAAACATGGACGCTAAAACGCCCATTCATGAACCTTTTAGCGCCCATGTTAGTTTTCAGTTATAATTTGTAACACTATAAAAAGGCAAGGGCCTTCACATTTGTCATATATCTATCTCTCTCTCTCCTATATCAGATCCTCTGATCTGACTTCTCTCTCTACTTTCCAAATTCTTTAGAACTAGTTTGTATAAGTTAGTATTTCCTATGTAATTTTGCTTGGAGATTGAAGACTCACTATCATGACAGTGGAATTTGATCTTTCTTCTCTTGTTATTATTTGTATTATGTCCGAGTAGAGTCCTTTGTAGTCTGATTCAATGGAACTCAAGTTTGAATTTATGAATGGTTAATTAGATATCTTGTTTATCTATTATGTGATTTGCATGAAGTTGTCTTAATTAATTCTTCATGTTAAGGAGTAGTGTAGAACATACATGTTTACATTGTTTCTATATTTGACAACTTCATCATTAGTGTTCTAATAGTCAAGACATTGATGCTAGGATTTCTGATATGATCTTAAGACCTTAGTAATTAATGCATGTATTAAGAAAGGAACCACCAAGACATTGGGGTTTCCGATTAATGTGTCTATCAAGGTAGTAAGACATTACATCTTGATGATAAGAAAAAGGTTGATCAACATCACATAGTAGATATTCATCATGGAAATTGGTTCATCCATAAATTCATTCTTGAGGGAAATTGACATCTGACTACTTGTTTTAAATTATATTCACATTTTATTTGTTTATCAATTCTTTAATTTTATTCAAATTCAATTTCTGGTGACAAGAAATAAATGCAATTCATAATCTTTTGATTGATTCAACTTAAAAATATTTGGTTAGTCAGTGCTTGACACAATTCCTCGTAGGAACGATCTTTACTATGTGATGTTCAAACGCCTTCAGTAGTGTATTTATGTGATGGGACACTCATTGCTGGGCAGATGTTCAAACGCCTTCAGTAGTGTATTTATGTAATACTTGAGTTGAATTCTGAGCTTTCAAATGATCCTGAAATAGTTTTTCCATTGGGATCCTGAAAAGCCAATTTTTACTACAACTAATTTTGATTTCATTCAACAATAAATAAATACCACAATAATGGGTAAGTTAATAATGGTGTCAACAACCTTTGTGGTTCTTCTTTCTTCTTCTTGGTATTTTCTACAAGGATCTGAGATCTTTTCCATTTGAGCTTCGGTCATAGCTAGTAGGGAAACGATAGAATTTTATTTGGAGTTCCACTATTCTTATGATGTTGGCGTGGAGTAGGAGTGGATAGTCCTCTTGCATGTGATAGGTCAAAGTGTAGGAAGACACCCATTCCATGTGAGGTTAACAAACATTGTGTGGTGCTTGTAGGATCGCTCAAATACAAAACCAACAAATAAAACAACTATTCAAGAATGTTGTGAGGACATGTGGAGAAAGAGAACGAACTTCTGTGAAATATTTTACTAAACTTCGTTGCTTCTCAATTCTATGTTTCTCAAACAATATACTAGACTATAAAACTGCAACACTAAATAGCCATAAACCACAATTAAAGCCAAACTTAATAACAAAACATAACGACTGACTCTTAACTTTCAAAACTCCTAAAATTAAATGCTAAACTTATGACTCATAAACTATCCGTAACTGACAAATATAAAACCATTAAAAATTAAACTGACTGCTTAATTAAACCCATTAAAAACTAAACTGACATTTAACGTTTATTCTTAACAAAACTCCCCCGTAAACTTAAATGCTTCTGCCATCTTTCATGCCAATCATTCTTTTGCAGTTTTTCAGTAGTAACGTCGGCAGTGGTTTTGTGAAAATATCTCCGACTTGGTCTTGACTTGCCACATGTAATAACTCCACATTTCCTTCCTTTACTTGATCCCGGATGAAGTGAAAACAGACGTCAATATGCTTGCTTCTTTCATGATTCATCGGGTTCTTGGCTAACTCTATAGCTGACTTGTTATCAATATGGATCTCGGTTGGGCCGACTTGTTTCTCCTCCAGCTTGCTTAGTAAGTTCCTGAGCCATACTGCGTGACAAACACACCAAGATGCAGCTACATATTCAGCTTCGCAGGTCGACAAAGTCACAATGGGTTGTTTCTTCGAGATCCAAGTGAATGTCGTGTTGCCCATGAAGAATACATATCCCGACGTACTTTTCCGATCGTCTACATCTCCACACCAGTCATTATCAGTGTACCCAATTAACTTATAATTTTCGGACCTCGAGTAGTGAAGTCCCAATGAAGTTGTCCCTTGTATATACCTCAAGATTCTTTTTGCCGCCTTCCAGTGTGAATAACTCGGCTCCTCCATGAACCGACTTACAATCCCAACACTCAGTGAGAGATCCGGTCTTGTGCATGTCAGATAACGAAGACATCCTACCAAACTTCGGTAGTTGCTTGCGTCAACTCGATCTCTACCATCATACTTTGAGAGTTTTGAACCGGGTTCCATAGGGGTTGAAACCGGGTTGCAATCTGTCATCTTAAATCTTTTGAGAATCTCCTTTGCATATGCTTCCTGAGAGACAAAAATACCCAAGTTGTCTTGTCTGACTTCCAGACCAAGAAAATATCTCATCAGACCGGGATCTGTCATCTCAAACTCCATTGTCATTGTTCTTTTGATTTCTTGTATCATTCCATCATTGTTCCCCATAAAGATGAGGTCATCCACATAAAGAGCCACAAACAAAACATCATCTCCAATTTTCTTTATATAAAGTGCACGTTCATAGGGGCACTGCTCAAAACGATTTTCCTTGAAATAAGTGTCAATACGAGTATTCCACGCCCGTGGTGCCTGCTTCAACCCGTAAAGTGCCTTCTTCAACCTCAGCACTTTCTTCTCTTCTCCACCTTTCATGTATCCCGGTGGCTGTTCGAGATAGACTTATTCTTCAAGTACTCCATTCAAGAATGCCGACTTGACATCCATTTGAAATATCTGCCACATATGTTGAGCTGCTTGTGAAATCAATAGCCGAATTGTCTCCATCCTTGCGACGGGAGAAAATACCTCGTCATAATCAATTCCTGCCCTTTGCTTGTAACCCTTTGCAACTAGCCGAGCTTTATATCGTTCTATCTCTCCTTGAGCATTCATTTTCTTCTTGAATACCCATTTTACCCCAATGGGCTGACACCCTCCAGGTAGCTCGGCTAACTCCCACGTGTTATTTCGATCAATGGCTTCTATCTCCTCATCCATGGCGTCTTGCCATTTCTTATCTCGGATGGCTTCTTCAAAGCTTATATTTTCAGAATCTGCAAGAAGACAAACAAAATGTACCTCACTTGTTGACTCATATATATCTTGTATGCTCCGCATCCTGGGTTGTTGTACCTCGTCTTCATCATCAGAAGCTTCAGGACTTGCCGGGTTGATAACTTGTGTTGAGATTCCGCCTTCAAAATTCACCTCGGGTGAATTGCTCCAGTCCCACTCATCTGCTTCATTGAACCTTACACCTCGGCTCACTACGACCTTCTTGTTGACAGGGTCAAACAACTTATACCCCTTTGTTTTTTCATCATATCCCATAAAAACATATTTCCTGCTTTTGTCCTCGAGCTTAGTTCTGAGCTGGTCCGGTACGTGTGCAAAGGCCACACTACCGAATACTCTGAGATGAGCCACTGACGTCTTTTGACCGCTCCAAGCTTCCTGTGGTGTTTTGTCCTCTAAACTCGAATGTGGACATCGATTCTGCACATACACAGCACACTGCACAGCTTCCGCCCAAAACTCCTTCGGCATCTTCTTGTTCTTCAGCATTGACCGAACCATGTCAAGAACAGTTCAGTTCTTCCTTTCAGCAACGCCGTTTTGTTGTGGTGAGTATGGTGCTGTTAGAAACCTTCTTATCCCATGTTCCTCACAGAATGTCAGAAATGCTATCGAGGTATATTCCCCACCTCGGTCAGAACGCACCGACTTGATGAATTTTCATGTTGCCTTCTCAATCATTACTTTAAACTTTTTGAATACTTCAAACACCTCGGACTTCTCCTTCAGGAAATAAACCCAAGTTTTTCATGAGAAATCATCAATGAAAGAAATGAAATATTTATTACCGCTAAAGGATTCTGGGGTGATTGGACCACACAGATCAGTATGAATCAACTCCAGAGGCTGCTTGGCCCGAAATCTCGCCATCTTCTGAAACGTGGTCCTAGCATGCTTGCTAAGTACACAACTCTCACAAAACTTTCCTTCATAGTTGATGTCAGGCAGTCCGTCAACCATCTTCTTCTTTGCCAGCTCGATTAGACCACCATAATGTAGGTGACCAAAGATGAGGTGCCAAAGTGACGCCTTGTTTCCCACCTCGGCTTGTAAACAGTCGACCTGTACACATCTCAAGTTCAGTTTGTACACATTTCTGCCCATTTCAACTCGGAGTATTAGCCGACCTCTCTCATCTTTCAAATACAATACTCGGCCCTTCATCATAACCGAGTAACCTTTCTCCATCAATTGACCCATGCTTAAAATATTGCTTTTTAGGTCGGGTACATAGTACACATCTCGGATTGAGCCAATCAACCCGTCCTTTTGCAGGAAGCATACCGTACCACGGCCTTTTACCTCAACCTTCGAGGCATCCCCGAACGAAACATGTTCGGTCTCCACCTTTCTCATCTCCTTGAAGAAATGCTTATGTCCGTACATGTGGTTACTCGCACCCGTGTCAAGATACCACTCTATGTCATCATCTGAGTTTCCTTCATTGTGTGTCATTAACAAGACACCATCCTTCATCTCCCCTTCTGTGGCTAGGTTGGATGTCTCCTCCACCCTTTTCTCTTCTCTGCATTCTCTTGCAAAATGTCCGACTTTTCCACAGTTGTAACACTTGTCCGAGTTACAATCTTTCGCAAAGTGACCAAACTTGCCACACTTGTAACACTCGACGTTGGAATAATATGATCGTCCTCCTCGTCGACCTCTTCCTCTTCCACGCCAGTTCTGTTGACTTGATTGTCCTACCTCATCATTACAACCTTCTTGACTTCGGCCTCGGCCTCTACCACTACGGCCAGTTCCTCGTCCACCGCGACCACGTCCTCTACCTCGGAAGTTTTGAGAATAGAGAGCCTTCTCATCTTTAAGTGTTGCTTTGGTCTGAAGTGCTTGTCCAAGAGTCTCCTCCTTCTTCTTCTTTCGTTGCTCATGCGCTTCAAGAGAACCGGCTAGCTCATCAATGGTGAGCGTAGCTAGATCTTTGGATTCTTCTATAGCACATACCACGTTCTCAAAGCTGTCGGTCAAAGATCTCAAGATCTTCTCCACCACTCTGGTGTCCGCTACATCTTCTCCATTTCGTTTCAATTGATTCACAATGGTTTGAACACGAGTAATGAACTCGGATACTCCTTCTGTGTCCTTCATCTTCATTCCCTCCAACTCGGCATGAAGGGTTTGAAGCCGAACTTGCTTAACTCGGTTGGCTCCTCTATAGACATTTGCCAGAATGTCCCACGCTTCCTTTGAGGTCTCCGCATTCGCTATCTTTTCAAAGCCGGACTCGTCTACAGCTCGGAAGAGCATGAACAACGCTGCCTTGTCCTTTGCACGTGTCTCTTTCAACGTTCTAGTTTGGGCCGCCGTGTATCCTGCGGTGGTCGCTGGTTCTGCAAAGCCTTCCTGGACGACCTCCCAAGCTTCCTGGGAACCGAGAAGAGCCTTCATCTGGATACTCCAATTCTCGTAATTCCCTTTTGTCAATTTAGGCAACGCCATATTACTTACACTTTCCATAGCTCTGATACCAATTCGTAGGATCGCTCAAATACAAAACCAACAAATAAAACAACTATTCAAGAATGTCGTGAGGACTTGTGGAGAAAGAGAACAAACTTCTGTGAAATATTTTACAGAACTTCGTTGCTTCTCAATTCTATGTTTCTCAAACAATATACTATACTATAAAACTGCAACACTAAATAGCCATAAACCACAATTAAAGCCAAACTTAATAACAAAACATAACGACTGACTCTTAACTTTCAAAACTCCTAAAATTAAATGTTAAACTTATGACTCATAAACTATCCATAACTGACAAATATAAAACCATTAAAAATTAAACTGACTACTTAATTAAATCCATTAAAAACTAAACTGACATTTAACGTTTATTCTTAACAGTGCTAAGAGAAGTTGAATATACTCCATCGAGCTAACTTGCTCCGGTCAAGGAAGGTTGTATTGTCTTGGAGTGTTTCAAGAGGAAACTAGAGGAAGAATGATGTGTGAAAACTAGGAAACCATAGAAGTGATGAAAGGTTGTGTTTCGGTTGGAGAAAATAATAGGGAAGAGATGATGGTTTGGCTTGAGGGAAGTGTGGTCTTCGGTTTGCTTGAGGAGGGTTGTTCAATGAAGAGAATAGGTTGTGAGAGTGTGAGTAATAAAAGAGAGTTCTGGCCGAGACATAGGGGAAATGGAAAAGTGTCATCAATTTGAGAAAGCATGTGGCGTACATGCAATTAAGGGGGAGGATGGCTTGGTTGTTTCTTCTTGGCCATGCATCAATTGAATTGAATTGGCCTAGCCACATTTGTGTCATGCGCTCAGTGAGATGGCAAGTGGAATGACACATGGACAACATGTGTTCCATGAGTTGGCAAGGAGTGCTTATGTGGAAGACATGCGTATGGATGATGTATAGTTGGATGGGATCTTCATGGAAGGCAATGGGAATAGCTGATGCCAGTTTTAATTTATTAGTAATATTATAAAAGAAAGTAGTTCAGGTAAAATTTCAGGTATATATTTACTGCATACTGCATACTGCATAAAGTAGTTCAGGTAATAGCATACTGCATAATTGTCTTTATCTAAAAAAAAAAAATTCAATAGAGGACGTTCAGTTCCTCATAATTTAGGTAGCATGCTTTATAAAGGTCCAAACCTTATGTTCCACCAGCATCCCGTCAATATAGTGTCAAGAACAAAAATGAGTGCGTGTGTATGTCAAATTTAGTCTCCCTACTACGAATTTTTTCAAACAAATTGGTTCCTATGGTGGAGAATACCCAAACCTCCCCAACCCCCAATATTTAGACTAATTTGGAACACATGGAGTCACAACAGCAATTTAAGGATAAACTTGCAGCAATTAGATAAACGCAATGAAATGTTTTCACCTACGTTCCTAGGAATGTCATTTTACTCCTTAAGATTTCTCCATTAGCATTTAACACCTTACACAGCAACCAGCAATCACAATACTATGAGGAATCCTGGCAAGGGTAAACATACAAATACAAAAGCACACGTCTACGTTGCAATCAGCAATCACAATACTATGAGGAATTTAAATATTTTTTTATTTTGGTTTTTAAAATATAAATATATAGTGAATAAAAAAAATTTGTTAAATAAAATTAAAATATTAATGATATAAATAGAAAAAAATACAATCTTAGGTACGTGTGCTTAGTGTCAAGTAGACAGTGTTAGATATTTATTAAGATGACATTCATTTTATTAATAACTTAAATATTTTTTTATATTAGTTTTTAAAATATAAATATATAGTGAATAATAAAACTTTTTATTAAATTAAATTAAAATATTAATGATATAAATAGAAAAAAAAATACAATCAGACGTACCTAAGATTGTATTTTTTTCTATTTATATCATTAATATTTTAATTTTAATAAATAAAAAGTTTTATTAAATAATTTAGTCACCTTTATTGCCTTCATATAATATATGATAATTATAATTAAATAAAAAAAATATTAGCTATAAATGCGATAGTGCTTTCCTTATTGTATCCCTACCCTTTTTTTTTTTGGATACCTTTTTTGAGCCTATTATATAATGTGCATATTGAAGATAGAATATGCCT